CAAAACATTTACGTTCATTACGATGAAGAAGTCTTGACAAAACATATACGTTCATGTTTGACAAAACATTTACGCTCATTACGATGAAGAAATCATGACAAAACATATACGATGAAGTTTCGACAAAACATATACGCTCATGTTTGACAAAACATATACGCTCATTACGATGAAGAAATCATGAAAATTCAATGAGGTGAGAAAAGAGGTGAGAAAAGAGGTGAGATCTCACCTCTTCACCTAAACATTATTTTTGGATCATTTACGCTCATTACGATGAAGAAATCATGACAAAACATATACGATGAAGTTTCGACAAAACATATACGCTCATTACGATGAAGAAATCATGACAAAACATATACGCTCATTACGATGAAGAAATCATGACAAATCATTTACGCTCATGTTTGACAAAACATATACGCTCATTACGATGAAGAAGTCATGACAAAACATATACGAAGAAGTCATGACAAAACATATACGAAGAAGTCTTGACAAAACATTTACGCTCATGTTTGACAAAACATATACGCTCATTACGATGAAGAAATCATGACAAATCATTTACGCTCATTACGATGAAGAAGTCTTGACAAAACATATACGCTCATGTTTGACAAAACATATACGCTCATTACGATGAAGAAATCATGAAAATTCAATGAGGTGAGAAAAGAGGTGAGAAAAGAGGTGAGATCTCACCTCTTCACCTAAACATTATTTTTGGATCATTTACACTCATTACGATGAAGAAATCATGACAAAACATATACGAAGAAATCATGACAAAACATATACGATGAGGTCTTGACAAAACATATACGTAAACATTTATTTCCTGTGTTGTTGTCAAAATGTCATGTTGTCACACTTTTTCAGAGAAGTTAAATGACCTGGTAGCACATGGTAACATGGTAGCACCTTCAGTTCTTCAAAAATAATTCATAACTGCCTTCCCCTGCTGTGTTGTCAAACATGAACGTAAACATTATTTTTGGTTCATTTACACTCATTACGATGAAATCATGACAAAACATGTACGATGAAATCATGACAAAACATATACGTTTAGTTTCGATGAAATCATCATGACAAAGCATATACGATGAAATCATGACAAAACATGTACGATGAAATCATGACAAAACATATACGCTCATGTTTGACAAAACATATACGATGAAGTCTATGAACATAATAATATTTCAAACCAGGAGCCAAATTCTTGCGATTTTCATATGGAATCTCTTCTCTCGGTTTCCGAGGTAAGCAATTATATGAAATCATTTACACTCATTACGATTAAATCATGACAAAACATTTACGTTCATGTTTGACAAAACATTTACGTTCATGTTTGACAAAACATATACGATGAAATCATGACAAAACATTTACGTTCATTACGATGAAGTCATGACAAAACATAAACGATAAAATCATGACAAAACATATACGATAAAATATATTTCCTGGACTGTTGTCTAAATGTCATGTTGTCAGTAATTTTAAGAGAAGTTAATTAACCTGGTGACATGGTGACGTAGTGACACCTAAAAACCATCTACCCTAAACATTATTTTTGCTGAATTCAACAACAAAATGAACGAGGTCAGGATGTATGCAAATACCTTTGAATTCATTCATAAATGCCTTAGTAAGCTCATAAAATGCTTGTTTTTGCATTCTCTACTGTATCTTCGAGTTCTTCTTCATCTAACTTCTCATGAACTTTCTTATCTATGGAGTCCATAATATCTTTGACATAAAATGCATACTTTACAGAGCACCATTCAGCAACAAAATGAACGAGGTCAGGATGTATGCAAATACCTTTGAATTCATTCATAAATGCCTTAGTAAGCTCATAAAATGTTTGTTTTGAGGTCGAGCCACTTTTGGCTTGACCGTATTCTTTCAACCAAAACTCAAGAATTTTCCTGTGTGAATTTTGTATAAAAAGCAACCGTCTGAATTCAGGCGGTTGTTATATTCTTCACAAAACATTTACGCTCATTACGATGAAGAAGTCTTGACAAAACATGTACGATTAAATCATGACAAAACATATACGAAGAAGTCTTGACAAAACATGTACGATGAAATCATGACAAAACATGTACGATGAAATCATGACAAAACATTTACGATTAAATCATGACAAATCATTTATGTTATACAGTAATGTTAGTCATGAATGTTTGTCCTACGTGTTGGCGTTAGTGTTGAAAAATAATGTTTGTCCTACATGAAGCCGTACAAGCGTTTGAATTTGTTTATGCATAAGATTACTCTCTTGTTTTCTGTATCTATCATACAAACATAAGCAGCACCTGTTTTTGTAAAGTTTATATGAAGTTTTCGATAGTTAAGACCTGTATAATAATAGAATGCGTCCTCATTCTCAACATAGTAGTAGAACTCAAACGAATGCTTACCATAATCTGTTATTTCAACAGCTTCGTCAGATATTTCATCAACGAACTCATAAACTATATCGCCATACTTGCTTTTATTTCTATTGTTTTCAGATTAGAACACCAACGAAGGTTTGAGATTCTGTTGTCCGTTCTATCATGATTTATATGGTCTATTTCTTTCAAATTGTTTGGATTTTCAATCCACTGTTCTGCAATAATTCTATGCTTTAAATGTGTTTTGTTGTTTAAACTAAGCTCAATATAACCATGATTATTTAAGCATTCACTCTTAATATGTTTGTTTTTCTTTCGACGAATAGTAAAAGGATATGTCGTACAAATCTCATAATCTTCATGATTTCTCAATGTTTCCCATTGAGTTTGTTCCCCACTAACGTTCTCATTGACGTCCTCAATATCTTCTTCCTCACTGAACTCGTCAATATTTTCACTAGCTCCTTCTGTAATGTTTTCATCGGCATTGTCATTGACTTCTTCTGTAATGTTAGATGTTGTTGTTTCGCTCATGTTCTTTCACTAATGTTAAAAAGTTATGTTGTACGAATTTTGAACAGAATTTAGAGCAGTTATGAAACAATGAAGTATTTTTACGCTATTGAAAGGAACTATGAGAGTGAAGTACATGACAGCAATGACAAAAGGAACTAATATCAAACCTAATGAAATCGCTCACGAGGACATAGAGCTTAACAAGTACTTTGTGGAGTATCTTATAAGTGAAGAGTATGTAAGACCTTACTTCATGTTTGACAGCATGAATGAGGATGTTATTTCATGGTTAAAGAATATAAGCAATGTTTTCGGTAAGTACGTCATAGATGACAAAGGTCTTGTTGTATTTTATGAGACAGCAATACGAACACAGGAACTAATGGATATTATGCACTCAACAGCAAAGAAAGGATTTAGTACTATTGGCATGAATGAACATTGCAGGAATGACATATACAACCTATGCTCACGAAAGCCTTACACAAAAGCAATACAAATGATAGAACATAAGTGTCTAAGGTCAGCAAATGAAATCATTACTGTCAGTGGTTATGAAAGAACTGTTAGCAAAGATGAGTGGAAACAGCTATTCATATTAAGGAAGGACGTTGCTGAACTAGTTAAACCTGTTGCACAAACATTGTTTCAGATAAGACCAGCAATGACTAAGAACCCTTTGACCTTAGTCAATGAGACCATAGAGGTTGAAGATAATGACATGAAAGAACTAGGAATGAATGAGAGAAGTTGTGAAGGATGTTTGAGTCAAAACACATGGTTCTTCAGAGCTGTTAAGAAACTTAGTAAAGAACGACAGAAATATTTTATAGAGAAGTATTGCAAAGGATGTGTAAATGAATTGCTTGAAATAGAACTTAGAGACACTTTCACACTAAAGGACTTGAGAAGAAATAAGTACATGAGTGAGGACGGTATTGACATAGCTAGTGTTATAAATGACTTAAGAAGATGTGTTGTGTTATTGACGGAGCACGTATGACATATCTAGTGAAAGATTATGATGGAATACGAGACACAACAACACTTGTGTCAGTAGATAGCAAGGAATTCAATAAGCTCATGAAGAGTGTTTATGTAGGACGTATTGAGGAGAAGGATGTGAACGCACTGATGATTTATGAAGCGGGTCAGAACAAGAACTATCTTATGAAGTCAGGCATGAGATTCTTTGACGAAAGAGATGACATTTACAGCTATTTCAGAGGATATGAGTATGAGGTACTGAATGAAGTAGATGAAAGCGTTATTGAAGGATATTTGAAACATGTTCACGATGTCATATGTAATGAGGATGAAGAGCTTTATGAGTATGTTTTGAACTGGTTCGCCTACATCGTTCAAAATCCTTGTGGAAAGACTGGAACAGTACTTTTGTTAATAGGAAAGCAAGGAACTGGTAAGAATGTACTTAGTAATGTTCTATGCGAGCTCATTAGCAAGTACGCCAACAATAATATAACGGCAATAGAGAATGTGGTTGGTAGATTCAATGCTGCTATTGAGAACATGAAGCTCATCGTATGCAATGAACTAAGCTCATGCGATACGTCTAAGGTCATGAACCACGACGCACTAAAGTCAATAGTAACAGAGACTCAGTTGGACTTAAATCAGAAGTGTCAGCCAGTAAGAAAGATAGAGAATGTTTGTAATATCATCATGATATCTAACAACTTCAACTCAGTAAAGATTGACAAAGACGACAGAAGATTTGTTGTCATTGACGTAAGCAGCAGATACAAAGGAAATTACGAATATTTCTCAAATCTCATTGAAAGCTTTAATGAAGAGTTTTATTCAAACTTACTGACGTACTTCATGAAGAAAGATTTAAGTGAATTTGATGTAAGGAAGATACCATTCACCAGGGCTAAACAAGAATTCATCGAAATGAACAAAACACCTTACCAAATGTTTTACGAGGAGTTCTATGAAAAGTTTGTATCCGGATGGAATTGTACAGAGTGCTACAGAAGATATAAAGAATTTGCAAAGGAGAATGAATTCTTTGCATGTAGTTCAAATGTATTTGGTGGCAAGATGAGAGAATTTGTGAAGAGAAGTAGAAAGCGAGACGGTTCTGCAAGAAGTTATATTTACGAAGCAAGTATGATATTAGAAGGTCGTGGAAAGAAAGAAACAGTGAATTATGAGGAAGTGCTTGAAAAATTCATGGAGTACATGGGAAGCAATATAACATACAACAAAGACATATACAGTGAGTTTAAGTACTACTGTGAACAGCATGAGATTGAAGTAATGAGTAAAGGAGACTTTGAAACGCTTATGAAAGACAGTAAGGAGGTCGTTCATGAGAACAGTGTTGAAATAGTTCATGAGAACAGTGAGGAGGTCATACATGAATGCAATGATGAAATAGTTCATGAGAACAGTAAGGAGGTCATACATGAGAACAGTGATGAAATAGTTCATGAGAACAGTAAGGAGGTCATACATGAGAACAGTGATGAAATAGTTCATGAGAACAGTAAGGAGGTCGTTCATGAGAACAGTGAGGAGGTCGTTCATGAGAACAGTGATGAAATAGTTCACGATGTCGTTCGTGAAGAAGCCATTGCAACAAAGAATGTTATAAAGGATTTCATAGAACTTAACAAGGAGGAGTTTAAAGAAGGCTATGAAGTGAAAAGATGTGAAGAAGATTTCTTGGCGTATTTGAAGAAAAAGAGACTAAAGCCAATGGCTCAAAATAAGTTTCAATCGATGTTTGAAAAGAAACGTTTGAGCTATGGTGGTGTAAGAAGCACATATTACTTTGTTAAGAAGTGAGGACATTTATTTTTGTCGTTAGTGTTGGAGTTTGTGTTTGTTGTTAGTGTTTGTCATTTGTGCTGAGGTTAGTACTTGAGTTAGTGTTGGAGTTTGTGTTTGTTGTTAGTGAGAGAATAAATTAAATCATGAACTTTGCCATGTTCTCTGTCCCTAGTAGTTTTCATTATCTCACAGAGTTAATGAAAGTCATACTTTCTATCAGATGAAGCATGCAGATGAACATAACGAAAGTTAGTGAGTTTGCCACGAGTTATGAATAAAATATTGGAATATTAGATGAGATAGCTGATGAAACAGATGAAGATAAATTAAATCTTGGACTTTGCCACACTCTGTCCCTAGTTCCTCAAAAATCCTTGACAACGTTGCTTAGAAATTTTGGTTCAAAACCTCATCTGAGTTTAATCTGTTATGCTACCTGTTAAGTTTCGCGAGATTATAAATGTCATGGAGTTATATAAAAAGGAGGGACAGCTAGGGACACTGGAAGTACTTGTAAGGCTATTTGTTAAGATTGCATGAAATACTAAAAGTCATGAAATCCATTATCGCTGTGCTATCTTCACCTTAGAGTAAAATGACAAATAAAGTCACTGAAGCAATGAAACAAAAGTTTTTGGTAGAATACATTAAATCAGGAACTATTCCAGAAGGTTTTTACATTCATACTATGAAGGATGGTAGAGTTCAGTTTAGAAAGATAAAGCAACCATTAGATAGAGAAGGTATATTAAGGAAGATTAAACTTCATGAGGACAACATTGCTGAACTTAAGAAGAAGTTAGAAGAGTTGGAGAAAGGAAGAGAGTTATAAAGCAATGAATTCAACAGGGTGAAAAAAGGTGAGATCTCACCACTTCACCTAAATTTATTTTTGTGCTATGTTTTCATACGTGTGAGGGTGGTGATATCATTAATTTTTAAATAAATGTGGGAACAAAAATAAAGCATATCTACTCAACAGGAATGAGACCCTTACTGACTATGTATTCGTTTAATGCTTGATGAAAACAATGGTACATATTATCGTATGGTATACACAACGTCTGTTTCCATCGTCGTCGTATATGTAGAGCTCAAAATCCAGTCCAACCTTCTTTTGTACAATATGTAGCTTTATTTAAGTATGCATTTTGTAGATAAGGCAATTTTCTTCATCGCTCCAGAAATAATTTTTGTTCTTTGTTGAAATAGTTTTCGTTCCTCTGCGACTATAAGGAATGTATGCAATGAACTTTGCATCATAAGGGATTGTAATATATTCAGGGTTTCTTTCATCGTCAATGGGTCTGTCTTTGTTAAAATGCATGTTTCTCAGTTTTACTTGAGTTTTGAATAGTTCACGGAAACGTTCTGGGAAAGAGTCATAGTAAATGTAGTCAGACATGTCTTTGTAATGAAATAAAAAATTTAAAAAAATAAAAATAAGGTTATTTTTTATTTAGTGAGGACGGTAGTGAAGTCGTTAGTGAAATCATTAGTGAAGTCGTTAGTGAAGTCGTTTATGTGTCAGATGGTTTTGTAAATATTTAAGGTTAAGTTGGTGTTACGGTTGTGTTGTAAAAATACGTTACCGGTTTCGTAAAGTGTCAAAACCGCTAAGTGGTGTACGGAGGCGCGCAGTGCCACAGTACACAACTTAGGGATACTAACTGACTAAGCAATTCTATACCATGCGTAAACTGTCATGTAAGGTGGCATGTATTCTTTACTTTGTCCCGTTGTTTGTGTATATCCTGTAACGCGATGTGTATGGTTTCCTCCTCCCTCAGTGTTACTCCAGTAACAATTTATAGCAAACTTAACGTCCTCTTTAACATCATATCCTTGACCTTTTGTCATTGCTGACCAATCCCAATATCTATGCTTATGCCAACCTGCTTGAGATGTACTTAAATCTATGTAGTGACTGTGTGCAGGTAAATTTTCACCTGAAATCGTTTTACTTCCACCTGTTTCCTTTGAAGAGTTTGCACAATACAAAAACCTGTCGACTATTTCTTCCCATGCACCAACACCAAACATTACTTGAGGACCTCTTGCTTCCATAGATGTATAAATAGAACCTACTGGGTTCATTAAATCAAACATATGAGATATTATAGGATTGTCTCTTTTGAACTTAAAATATAGTGCAACTATTTCAGGTTTCTTCTGGTTTGTGTCAGAATATTTTTTATAATATAATCTTATGTTTTCAGGGTAGGTAAAATCTTGACTATAATATTTATTTCTGTCATCTGTATAATAATATACTATTCTCGTTTTTTCTATTGCATTATATCTTTTATATCTATAATAATCTAAATATAATGTTAGCTTTGTTCATCTACATGTGGTGTTCTGTCGTCATCTCCATAGTCATAATAATATGGTGCTGGAGCTGGGTCAGGCAATGTCATATCTGCCATTTCATAAACTCTTAAATATTTCTTTTGTTCGTCTCCATATAAGTTTAAGTAGCAGTTGTTGTCTAATGGAACTTTAACTTGTGTACCATTATTCTTTTTATAACTGACATACATTTCATTGTTATTTTTCGGAATGAGTTTACACCGTGTACCATTTTTTAAGGACTGTACAAACTGCCATCTAAAATATTTATTTTCTTCATTGACAGAAAAGTCACCAACAATAGTTTCAATATTTTTTGTTGTTCCTATCAAACTTTGGTATATTTCATTGACATATGTTTTATCTTGTTGTGCATGAAAAATAGCGTGACTTCACTTTTGACAAAAAGTGACACTGTTTATGATGGTTTTGTCATTTATTTGTCAGATTTATAAATGGATAATAATGCTGTAAATCAGATATTAATTAAAAATATTTAAGATTTATGTTCGAATTGAAAAGCAAAATGATATTTTTTTTAATTGAAAAACGTAATATCTGATATTTTGAAGTTTGTAATATTTGTTAGTATCTTAAATTATTGAATGCATACGTTTTTTATGTTCTCAATTTTAAAAAAATTGTGAAGAATTTAGTTTTTTGGAGATGGATGTTTAATATTTGTGAGTGAGAATGCAAGCAGGAGTTTGGTACTTTAAGGCTAGGTTGAGATAGATTTCCCATTATATTATCTGTGAATATATTGTTTGAAAATTCAAGATATAAAAATATATTATCAAAAAATTTTATATTTTTAAATACAATAGGGTGGAAGTATAGGACGATGAGATAGCAATGATATATTTTATAATGGGAGGTAATCTGAAGATAAGTAGCAAATTTTATGCGATTTTGATTGGGAGTTGGAGGGTATGAGTACTATAGCATGTAATAGTATCTCACACCTCCAATTCTTCCTATGGCGCCGAAAATTTTTGGTGAAATGCGACGACATTTCACCAAAAATTTTCGGCGCCATATAGAGAACTATAGTCTGCGAGGTACTGATTCTATCTATGTACCTCGCAGACCATAGTTCTCAGCCAAAATGGCTAAAAATTTCTGAAATTCGAAATAATTTTTTTTGAGAAAAAATTAACCGTTTAACATTGCCAAAAATCTAAAAAACTCACAATTTTTTTTAAATTGATAACCCTCAAACCGTTTCCAATCAATAATTTGAGAGTCTATATGATAATGTAAAAGTTAAAACATTCAAGTATTTAAGTATTTCTTTAAAATATTAAGTTTTTTATTTTTCCAATAAAATTCTAATATCAAATATTTTTATTTAACGATTAATTTTATTTATATTTTTATAGTTTTTTTTAAGAAAAAATATTGTTAGGGTTTTGGCTGCGTTAAAAATCAAAGAATTGATGTTTTTGTCAAAAATCTTTTAGAAGAAGTTGCACCCAATTACTTTTATCGTATTAAAAACGATTTACTTCAAACAGGTTTTATTCCTTCAATTAGAATTCGCGAGCCTCGATTGACAGATTATAAAACAAAATTGAAAAGAGAAGTTCAATCACGTTTATACCAAAAAAAAAAAGGTAGTGGGGCTTCCAGGGGCTGCGCCCCTTCTAGCCCTGAAGATGTTTAGTATAAATGAAGTTTATATTTGGAGGGCTTCCAGGCGCGTTGCGCCCTCTAGCCCCGAAGATGTTTAGTATAAATGAAGTTTTTATTCGGAAAATTGTTAGTCTTCTGGGTCGAAAACATTATATAATGTGTCGCTTTTCACAAATTATATATGTTTTCATGTTTTGTCACTTTTCTGTCACTTTTCAGGTAAAAACATTTTTATTATTATATATAAATGAATTTTACAAAACCACCGTTACCGTTCTTTGGAAATAAGAGTAGATGTAAAGATATTATATTGAGAGAACTTAAGAAACTACCGAATGGTCTAACATTTGTAGATTTGTTCGGTGGAAGTTTCTATATATCTCATTTATGTCATACCGTATTTCCTGACTCAAAGATTATATGCAATGACTTCGACAACTATATGGACCGTCTCAAACATATTCCAGACACAAACAATATATTGAAAGAGTTAAAAGAAAAGATACCTATAGGTAAGATGGAACGTATACCATTAGATAAGAAAAATATTGTGAGAGAGGTTTTGAAAAAAGCAGAATATATAGACTGGGATAGTATATCTGCTAGACTATTATATAGTGGTGCTATAAGAGTTCATGACATTGAAACACTTATGTCAAAAGTTTTATATCTTAACTATACAAATGTTTTCAAAGAGGACATAGAAAAATATATTGAGGGTATAGAGTTTGTGAGATGTCATTGGACAGAGTTGTATGAAAAATATAAAGACAAGGAAAATGTTTTCTTTATAGTGGACCCGCCGTTCTATAACACATGGGATTTTCAATACCAAGTAGACTGGACTTTGAGAGACTCTTTAGAAACTTTAGACGTTTTACATAACCATCCATGCTTTTACTTTACATCCGATAAAAGTGGTTTGGAAACCGTTATGAGATGGTTAGAGGACATACATGACTATGAGTTTATATATGACAAGATAGAATATGAGAGAGGTCCTATAAACTGGAGAAAGTGTCACAATA